CTCCGGATCTATGATGTTTTGGATCCACCGAGCCGTCTGTGAAGTATGACGCTGCATCAGCCGGTGTCTCGGTGGCTATGGCTTCCTGAGTTATTCTTTTGAGGTCCTCCTTCTGGAGGTTGGCATTGCTATCACCTAGTTTGGTAATTTTGAATGTAGCTGGTGGAGGGCTCCATGGTGGAACTACATAATCACTGTCTCGTATGTCTTGGCTGTTCTTGACGAGTGTTTCTGCTTTTAGCTGCCTGATGACCTCGCTTGCCTCGTGCGACCAGGTGGGTGGCCCCTCGCGCTCTGTGGTCGAGATGGAGGGAGGCATTGATTCGCGCTTTGGCTGCTGTGGGCTTATCTGATCTACAGATTTTGGCGAGGAGTCCGGCTGTCACCTGCTTGACTCGTACTTCCAGGGGTTGTAGTTCAGTTTCCATTTGCAAATTGCAAATTCTGGTCCACATGGGTGCTTCGAGCATGGTCCTGAGAGCATTATTTTGGATAACTTCTAGCTTAGCTATCTGGTCTTCTCTCAGTCCAATGAGTGCTGGAGCACTGTAATCTACCAGCGATCTGATGGCGGCCGTGTAGTAGGCTTTGGGCACTGGTATGTTTGGTTGTGCTGGCGAGCGACCTCATTATGTTGTGTCTGCTCTTCGTCCTGTGCCTGAGATACTCGAGTTGCAGCTTGAAAGAGAGTTTCTGCTCGAACTAGATTCCACGACACTGGCGGGTGTTGGTCCAGGCTACCGGCGTGTTTTATATGGAGAGCATCATGTCTGGTGTGTCTGTGCAGATGGCCATCGCTTTCGTCTTGGCTAGATTTATCTTGAGTTTGTTGCACTCCTCTTCTATAAGTTGGAGTGCCTGTTGACTAGTCTGTTTGCTCCTCTTACTATGAGCTGTAAGTCGCCTGCATAGCAGAGAAGCTTGGCTATTTGTCTGAAAGGTAGTCTGACTAGATTTCCATCAGGACATTGAACAGCGTTGGACTGAGGATGCCTCCTTGTGGAGTTCCATTTTCGTGGGCCCTGTAGCTTGATGTTGGCCCCTGAAAGCGTACTGTTGCTTCTCTCTGTGTAAGGTAGTTCTGGATCCACCCCAGCAACCTACCTTTGACGCCTTTGTCGGCGAGCGTCGTTATAATGGCCAGTGGATTTGCTAGTTCGAAGTCCTTCTCCAAGTCGAGGAAGACCACCAAAGCTGGTTTGTTGTCCTCTGGGCTGAGTATGTCGGCAATGTTGTTGCTTGTGCCGGTGTTCTCGGTGTAAGCAAAAATGTGAGTGTGTGAGCTGCCGACTTTCCACTTGAGCCTGTTGAGAGCCATTCTCTCTCCTGTCTTCGCTATGTAGCTGAGGAGGGAGATGGGTCTTGGTTTGTCTGGTTCTCAGGGCTTCGGAATGGACTGTATATCTGCCTTATTCCATTACGGTGGACGTCACTGTGCTATCCACGACGCGTTGATGACTTGTAGCAAAGCTTCGTGCCCGGCTTCTCCGTCGTGGCAAGGCATGGAATAGGTGATCCTGTCGGCCCCTGGTGCTGTGTCCTTGCTCCGTTTTATCGACTTCTGGAGTTCTTACTGGTTGAAAAGTCTGTCGGTGTCATCTTCAACATTGCAGGTCTCTTCGATCATCTGGAGTCTGGTCTGTCGCAGACGCCGTTGTATCTCCTCCGTATGAGTCGGGAGGTTTTTCGTTGCTGCTCGGTCGGAGAAGAGTTGTGCAAATCTCTCGGCTTCCTTTTCTGGTTTGGGCCCACATTTTGCTGAGGGAGGTGTGCTCATTCAGTTCGGAGCACCACTTGAGCCAGCTTGCGCTTTTGATTTCTTCCGTCTCTTCCCTGGTATCCTTGACTTTGTTTTGCAGGAGATGTCTGTTTGTTTCCGTGAGATGTCTTCTGTAGTTTTTTTCGGGCCATGTTCACTCTGCGGTTGAGCTCTTTCACCCTGGGGCAGTAGTACCAGTAATCTTTCTACTGTCTTGATGTAGGATTTGTTTTTGGGATAGCCACTTCTGCCGCTTGGTGAAACGCCTCGACCAATTGTTGATGGAGGTTTGTCTCGTCCACGGGTGCTGCACTAGCCGGCTGTCATTTGGCGCGTCACTTAACCAGGTGTTTCCCATAGAGTTCCCAGTTCGCCTTTTGGGTATTGTATCTCCATCTCGGCGGGGTTGGCGTTTTGAAATTGTTCACCTTCAGTGTTGTTAGGGTGGCAAAGTGGTCGCTGGTCAGCGTGGGGTGTAAGTGACAGGAGGCCGAAGGCTGTAGTGCACTGGAGACGAAGGTTAGATCTAGCCTTCCTCCCCTAGTGTGGGTGGGCTCTCCGGTGCTCAGGAGGGCGATTTCAGGTGTATCTTGAAAAGAGGTGTATAGGTGTAGGCCGTCTTCATTTGTGGGGCTTACCGAGCTTAGAAAGGGATGATGTGTGTGGCATGGAGGAGCTGAAATTTTCAGTTTCTTTCTGGGAGCTGACGGTATCTTTGGGTCCCTGGTGGCCTTTTTCGGTGTAGAGTTTACCTCGGCTGTCACTCGTGTGGGGGCCGGCATGGTGTCCTCCATTGAGGTGGCTGGAGCTGTGGCGACTTGCCCGAGGACGCCCCCCATGAGTATTTGGAGCTGTGTAGGCTGGATCTTGTCGCCCAGTAGTCCGGCTAGGCCCTCCGCGAAGGTTGTCAGTACCTTGGCTAGATCTGGTGTGTGCTTGTTTTGTCTTTTTCGTAGTTGTTCTCGTTGTCTGCTGCTTGGAGGGCTGAGGTGTGGCCGTAGGGAGGCCAAGAAACTGGGCCGCACTTTGGGTGTTCACTGGTTGAGGGGGTGGGCTTTGTTGTGTATGCCCTCGGGTTCCCCACACGAAGGTACTTGGTGGGGTTGGTGTGCAAGCGGTGGAGGCCGATCTTGCTGCTGGAGGTGGTGCTGCTCGGTTTGCCTGGACCCTTTTTGTCCTCTCACAGCATCCAGGGTTCCAGGCGTGGTGTTTGCCCCCGCAGTTGGCACACTTGGGGGCAATTTTTTCCCCATTCTTCAGCCTGGTGAGACAGGAGTGTGTGCCGTGCTTCTGCGCGCAGACGGCGCACATTTCCTTGTATGTACACCTCGTTTGATGTTGCCCGTATTTCTGGTATCTGAAGTACCGAAGGGGCTCCAGGACGAAGGGCTTCACTTCGTAGATCCCCCAGGTCTATGGTGCTGGGGGGGTGGACCGTAGTGCATTATGAGCACTTGTTTTGTGGTGGCCGTCTTGTCGGTAGCGGGAGAGCATCTCTCGGCTTTTAGTATCTTTTGATGGTTCTCCAAGGGTTCGAGGGGTAGCTCCTTTGGGTATCGGAGGACTACCAACTTCATCTGTTTCTGGACGGGGTCCAGCTTGGTTGATGCAATGGTGGTGGTGTTTTTCAGGTATGTGTCGAGGGTGGAGGTGGCCCCCTTTAGGTTGGGCCACACTGAGAGCTTGGCCAGTGGGTTTTGTTTCTTCATCTCTGTGATGGCGGCTTATATCGTTTTCGTGTCCGTTTTCGAGATCCGGAATTTTGGCAGTGATGTTGGGGGCGAGGTGGTGGTGATGGGTGCCTTTTGGGCTGCTTGACGGATTTCGTTTCCCGAAAATGCACGTCGGCATTTTTTGTTTTCAACCTTCGTCCAGTTGTCGTCCTTGGTGGCGGTGGCAGTGGCAGTGGTGGTGGAGTTATTGGGGGGCGGCAGAGGTGGTGTGGATGGCGTTGTTCTTGGTTTTCAGGGCTTCGTGGAATGCCCGCAGCTGGTCCGCTTCTCTGTGCGGAGCCTGTCATGATTCGGGTCGTCGGGTTGTCGGATCAAGCGGGGGTGGAGGTTAGGAGGGCGTACGCACTACATAACCAGTGGTTAAGTGGTGTTTTCTTCTTTAGAGGTTTCTCTGTTGTCCAGAGTGGTTAAGTGGTGTTTTCTTCTTCTTTAGAGGTTTCTCTGTTGTTCAGAGCCTACCTATTCCGGATGAGTAAATAGCAGAGGAATATTAACACTCCCCACAGTCACTTGATGGTCGCATGGTCGTAGAGTGGTTCCTGAGCTTCTCTCCCGGAGCTCAGTTTGGGGAAACCTACTTACTAGTGTATGTGACTGCTCACTTACAGGCGTGTGCTGAGTGTGCCTATTGGGTAACGATGAGGATTGTCAACCTCCTTCCAGGTGGACCTGCACGATCACGGTTTTCCTGGAAAGACTCGGCAGAGGGATGGGTTCTTGTTCCAACCCCCTTTCGTGTTCACAATCTCCTGGGAGGGAGGTGAATAGTTACAGGGGGGACCGCAGGACGAATACACTTTTGAGGGTGCAGGTCCCCAGGCCAGAGCGAAAAAAGGAAAAATAGTAATAGAATGAAAAGAACACAAACCACGTCGAGAATATCATGCTATGGCTGCTCTCCAGCTGGAGTGTGGGTCACTCACACCACCAGTGGGGAGGGCATGTCAGTGCCGGACGGTCAGCAAAGTTGGCCAACAATGGCAGCAGAGAGAAGGCAGGTCCAACTGTATGCGGCTAGAGTGAGAAATGTGATGTTGTATGGCAGTGAAACATGGCCAGTTAATGGGGATGACAAAAGTAGATTTGATCGAGCTGATAAGAAAATGGTAAGGTGAATGTGTATTGTGGCACTGATATACAGGAGGCCTTGTTCAAAATAGGAGGGCAGATGGATATTGAGAATATTGGCAAGGTAACTCGTAGATACAGGTTGAGATGGTTTTGGTATGAGTTAAGAATGGATGAGGCCAATTTGGTCAAAAGGTGCTTGAGCCTAAAATTAATGCCAAGAATTACATTGAGAGAGATTGTAAGAAATAAACTTCAGAACCTGACAAGAGAGACGGCAAGAGACCGTGCAGCATGGAGAGCTGCCATCAGGTAACCGCGGCTAACCAACACAAGCTTGGAAAATGGCCGTAAAATGATGGTGATGCTAATTTAACTTGTTCTTTCTTTTACTTCTATATTTTCACCATATGTAATGACTTCTATTTGTCTTCCGCCAGGGGAGCATCAGGCTGCCATGCAGAGTGATGCAAGTCCCCGGATGTTCACGTCAGCTTTTGTCATCACTTTTGGGCTGTGCCTCATATGTGTGGTGCAGCTCTACAGAAGTAATATTGATGGTGCCCCATAAGTTACTAAGACTTGCCTTGGAAGACAGCAATGATAAGAGATGTAAGGATATAACAAGCAGCTACTGTGTGGTGACCCTCCAGTTCAGCTCAAATGAAACCTGGGAATAACTTAAGAGTTGTTCTGTTACTCTATTTACCTGGGTTCAAGTGATATCTGAGTACATAGATTTTGTCACACGTGGGCTGCTTGGCTCAAGTGATATCTGACGTACCTGGGCTTTCGTCTACAGTACTGTACTTGCCTTATGAGTACTTGAGTGATAATTAAAGTGTCTGGTTCAAGTGGAAGCATCTCAGACATTCAAGAATGACCGGAATCATCGTGAAATTCTGCTTCTGCTGCTCCCGAAGATTTTACAGAAATAATTAAAATATATATTAACGAAATATTTCCTTGCATGTACAGTATAGCATCATTTTGTATATAGATGTAAAGTACAGTAATAGAGCTGATGGTTGAAGCAAGATGTCAAATCCACCTCAGGAAGCTAATGGCCGTTTCGTAGTGAAGGAACTGTAGTAGAGGTGGATGGTGGCGTGAGGGGGGCGGCGAGGGCCAACATTTACACGAATGGCTTGACCTCGCACATGAAGGCATCACTGGACCCATCCCGACTTACTTCTTCACGCACCATCACTTACCTTCTAGTTGTTGCCAGAGGATAGTCTCCTTATGTATTTTCCAGGATAAAAGAGCCGTAGTGTTTGTACTGTATTGACCTCCATCCAAGGAATACTAGGAAGTAATACCGGTAGCACACCTTTCGTTTTGTAAGAATTTATTTTTTAATGATTAATCTGTTTTTTACAGTATATTTCAGTTCTGAACAAAAAACAATTTGTTAATTTAATTTTGTAGTTTGGAAAAGTAAATGTGAATCATTTTTGTGAGCCAAGAAGTAGGCATTGGTGGTCGTGTTGATTGTTTACATGTACACGACACCAACACAGCTTGACGCCTCACACCTAAATAAGTTCAATATTTGATAATTTAAGATAGTTTAAAATCATGATAATTCACTCTAGAATTTCAGTGATGTATATTCTTAAAGCTGCAATAGAAGATTAATGAACAGAAGAAACTCAGAAATTTTGAACACGTTTATGTATCTAAGATAGTCAATGGTAAATTTTTGAAAGAAAGATATGTGACAAATAATGGCATTGTTTTTACATAATTAAGATAGTTATGTCGGTATGTTGTTGATGTAGAAACTGTATATACAATATATAGGTGTATGTACGCATGTATATATTTCCTAAAGCAAATTTACAATATATATCTTCACAATAAGATGTACCAGACTGTATGGTATCAGTATTACTCAGCAGTTGTATAAGTCATTTTACTCTACAGAGAAAATACCTGTCAACCTTTTCATTTAATTCTAAATTTTAATGTGAATATTTTTTCAAACAGTTTTTCCGTTATGGCTGGATTCAAGAGCAAAAAACACACACTCAATTTACCGCCATTCATTCATTTTTACTGCTGTAATAGGTGTGCCCTGCTGTGGTACTCCCCTCCCACAGTGTATGAGAATCATCTAGTTTCTTCCACTCCTTCCCATACAGCCAGAGGGCTAAGCATCCAGAAACCGCGGCCATGTAACATCCTAGCACACCGTTACTATGTACAGTATGTTCACCTCACTCTGATCTTTCTATCTTTATCGTCCCTTGTGTGCCATTTAGAAACTACTCCGATACATATTCTTCGATATATTGTGGCTGGAGCACATACCAGTTGTTTGTTACCATTTTTCATGAGAAGGAACACCCAGTTTATGTTCAGCATCATTTTGGTGGTGAAACATGGAGCTGAAAACTGTTTGTTTTTGTTTTGTTTTGTAAATAAGGATGATTATTTGTATGTTTTGAGATTAATATAAATTTATTATAGTTCACAATATCTCATAATTCCTCTATATGTTTAGCGTATAAATTAGCACCTTTGAAATAGTGTTGAAGATGACTGTACTGTTCCTCTGTGTTCAGTATGTGGTAGTTTGTAGATGGTATGTCATGAATGTACTGTATGTATATTTTAGATTAATGTAAATTATATTTTCATATATTTTATGTAACTGACATATTCTTTTATTTCCTCCTTACCCGGGAATCATACAACTCCTCATCATTGAAACAAAATAAGAACCAGATTTTTTCACACACAAGGAAGAACCAATTTCCCCCCAACTTGTATTCCCTGAAATCACTACTCATGTACACATTAATTATTTAAGTTACTAAGTAATGCAGTTACTTAATGGTAAATATTATATCAGTGTGATGCGTTATTCGTCATTACAAGAAAATACACTGATCACTACAGAAAACTCAAGAATGAAGGTGGTGTAGCAAGTGTAGCCTAATAAACAGTAATAGTGTGCCCTTAATTTATAGACGTTTTCTTTGGAAAGTTAAACATTCTGCCATCAGGTGGCGCTACGGTGTCGATGTAGCACCTTATTAAAAATAATGGATTTAAGGGAAAGTTATACTTCTTTATAGGATATTCTTTTTCACAACACACTTGACCTGACCTCTTGCCCTTGTAGGGGTATCGACATATTAATGTTGTCTAGCACTCAGGATGGAAGGAAACTCTAATGTGGTTTTCTTGTATAATATATAAGTTATATGAAGACAGTCTGGTGCTGGAGATGCCGTGTGGTGGGGAGCTGATCAGTAGAGACGTTCGGTGAGTAGCCTGTTGAAGGAGGTAGATGTGCAGGAGCTTCGTTAGAGAAGATGTTGCCTGTTGCTGGCCTCCTGGTTGAATAATTGTTAGGAGCTTGCTTGAGGAGGTGTTGCTTGTTGTAGAAGAGAGAAGAGAATGAGAAAGCTGGTGGGTGAGGAAGCTCAGAGAAGGACAGCTGGTGCGTCGCCATGCTCGCTGGCGGGAGCGAGGTCCGCCAGGCAGGCGAGGAGAAGCGAGGGGCCGCCAGGCAGCGGCGGAGGAGGAGGTGTTGCTTGTTCAAGAAGATTGGTCAGAATGTATCTCAATGGAGAGACAGAGCTTATATACCCAGCAGCAGCCGCTATGAGTCATGTTGGGAAAACCCAGAAAGTCGCCGGTGACTGGTTCCGTTGCTAAGATACGGTAACATCTGGTTGGTTGCTAGGGAAGGCGGCACATTGGAATGCGATACGCAGTTTGTAGGGGAGACGTCCACTTCACCCTTCTCTTCTACCTCCCCATGTTCCTGCCGCGCTCTGGACATCTTCGCTCCTGGAACCTCATAACCGCCTGATGCAGCTAAGTGATTGCGGTGGTACTGCTATGGAAGTAATTGTGGTGGAGCTGGGAAGTGATTGGTGGTGGTGCTGGGAAGCGATTGTTGTGGTGCTGAGGAAGCGATTATGGTGGTGCCGGGGAAGCGATTGTGGTGGTGCTGGGAAGCGATTATAATGGTGCTGAGGAAGCGATTATGGTGGTGCTGGGAAGCGATTGCTGTGGTGCTGAGGAATCGAGTACGGTGGTGCTGGGGAAGTTATTGTGTGGTGGTGCTGGAGAAACGATTGCTGTGGTGCTGAGGAATCGATTGTGGTGGTGCTGAGGAAGCGATTATGGTGGTGCTGGGAAGCGATTGCTGTGGTGCTGAGGAATCGAGTACGGTGGTGCTGGGGAAGTTATTGTGTGGTGCTGGGAAAGCATTGTGGTGGTGCTGGAGAAGTGATTGTCTGGTGGTGCTGGTGATGCTAGGGAATAAATTCACATGATTGTACAGTCGAAGGAAAAAGTCGTGTTACACTTAGAAGTTCTCCGTTCAGGTAACAAGCCCTTCCTTCTCTCCTACACAACACACCAAGTCCTTCACCTCGCTCCTACACAACACACCAAGTCCTTCACCCTGCCCTACGCAACACACCAAGTCCTTCCCTCTGTCCCACACAACACACCAAGTCCTTCACCTCGCTCCCTACACAACACATCAAGTCCTTCATCTCGCTCTACACAACACACCAAGTCCTTCACCTCGCTCCTACACAAAACACCAAGTCCTTCACCTCGCCCTACACAACACACCAAGTCCTTCACCCTCCCACACAACACACCAAGTCCTTCACCTCCCCACAACACACCAAGTCCTTCACCTCTGCACAACACACCAAGTCCTTCACCTCTCCCTACACAACACACCAAGTCCTTCACCTCCCACACAACACACCAAGTCCTTCACCTGCTCCTACACAACACACCAAGTCCTTCACCTCCTCTCCCACACAACACACCAAGTCCATCACCCGCCCTACACAACACACCAAGTCCTTCCTTTCTCCTACACAACACACCAAGTCCTTCACCTGCCCTACACAACACACCAAGTCCTTCACCCTGCTCCTACACGACACACCAAGTCCTTCACCCTGCTTCTACACAACACACCAAGTCCTTCACTCTCTCCTATACAACACACCAAGTCCTTCCTCTCTCCTACACAACACACCAAGTCCTTCACCTCTCCCTACACAACACACCAAGTCCTTCACCTCTTCTACACAACACACCAAGACACACACACACCAAGTCCAGTTCACCCTTCCTTCACAACACACAAAGTCCTTCCCTCTCTCCTACACAACACACCAAGTCCTTCAACCACACGACACACCAAGTCCTTCACCCTGCCCACACAACACACCAAGTCCTTCACCTCCCCCACACAACACACCAAGTCCTTCACCCTGCTCCTACACATCACACCAAGTCCTTCAGTCCCACCTGCTCCTACACAACACACCAAGTCCTTCCACCTCTTCTACACAACATACCAAGTCCTTCACCTCTGCCCTATACAACACACCAAATCCTTCACCTCGCTCCACACACACCAAGTCCTTCACCTCCCACACAACACACCAAGTCCTTCACCCTGCCCTACACAACATACCAAGTCCTTCACCCGCTCCTACACAACACACCAAGTCCTTCAGCTTCTACACAACATACCAAGTCCTTCACCTCCTATACAACACACCAAGTCCTTCACCCTCCTACACAACACATCAAGTCCTTCATCTCTCTCCACACAATACACCAAGTCTTTCACCCTGCCCTACACAACACACCAAGTCCTTCACCTCTTCCTTCACAACACACCAAGTCCTTCCTCTCTCCTACACAACACACCAAGTCCTTCACCTCGCTTCTACACGACACACCAAGTCCTTCACCCGCTCCTACACAACACACCAAGTCCTTCACCTCTCCCCACACAACACACCAAGTCCTTCACCTCGCTCCTACGCAACACACCAAGTCCTTCCCTTTTCCTACACAACACACCAAGTCCTTCACCTCGCTCCTACACAACACACCAAGTCCTTCACCTCTTTCCTACACAACACACCAAGTCCTTCACCTCGCTCCTACACAACACACCAAGTCCTTCACCTCTTTCCTACACAACACACCAAGTCCTTCACCTCTTTCCTACACAACACACCAAGTCCTTCACCTCACTCCTATACAACACACCAAGTCCTTCACCTCTTTCCTACACAACACACCAAGTCCTTCACCTCTTTCCTACACAACACACCAAGTCCTTCATCTCGCTCCTACACAACACACCAAGTCCTTCACCTCTTTCCTACACAACACACCAAGTCCTTCACCTCGCTCCTACACCCTGTAATTCGAGTAATTTGAATCATTTAGGCAATGCTTGAGGGTGAATGAACAAGGTTACTTTTCCTGTAAGGTAGTTAGGTAGTTCAACGGAGTTGTCCGCGTGTAGCCCACACCATTGTGACGTCACCATCTGGTTTTGATTGGCTGGTTCAGGGAAGTGAAAATCAGTAGGCTTTTACACCATCCTGAGGACAGACGCGAGCTACAGCTACCCCGGACCAAAGGTGGAAACGATTCTTGAAAATTATGTATGGAAGGAACTAAGCAAACTTGGTGCAGGCCAATTATATACTGTACAACAGAGGTGCGTGAAGCCAAGGAGATATAAGAAACGAGGCGGCCTACGTCATATCCCTGAAGCTACCGCCAGGCCGGCACCGCCGTTTTTATACACTAAGCATGTGGTTCGATCATAGTGAAGCAAACTGAATCTATCGAACTAATTACGACAGAGGAGCGATTCTTAGGTATATGCAAGTAAATCACCGTAGGTGAGCGTGATCCAAGTATATGCTGATAACCACAAGGAAACAGGAAGTTCCCAAGCGCTTTCGTGTAATTCACATCTTCAGGGGTGAGTACAGACTCAGGAGTAATTATAGACTAGGCTAATATATACAGTAGAGGAGAGTGAGATAAAGTCCCTAGGGGACAGCAGGTGTCCCAGTTGATGATTCACTGGAATTCGTCAGATTCCATGGATAATATTTCATTGCCCGTCTCGAAAGATGATTTCATCGAACTTGTCAAACTGTCTTAAGGATCGTAAATTTGAATTCAATGGAGAATATTATGCTAAAAAATTTGGTATGCCAATGGGTTTCACCAGTATTAAGCAACTTGTATATTGAATTCTTTGAGAAGAAACTATTAAGTAATATTTTACTACCTTCAGCAGTCTGGTTTAGATATGTAGATGATGTAATATGTGTCTGGCCATGTAATGACCTAAAAGCTTTCTACCACAACTTAACAACTTGGCCCCCTCGATCAAATTCACAGTGGAATTAGAGAATGAACGCACATTACAACTCCTAGACCGTCTGATCCACGGAATAGGTAACGCCTTTAAGTTCAGTATTTATAGAAAACCTTCTAATGTGTGTTTATACATTCATTATTATTCTGCCCACCATAATAGTCAGTCAGTATTCCATCAATGTTTTTACTTGCTCTAAGAATATGCAGTCCGGAATTCATTGATGGGGAATATAAATATATTTATAATATTGGCTTGAACCTTAAGTGCCCTAGGTCTTTTATAGACAAATGCCTGAACATTACGAATAAATCTTCTTGTATAACTTATCATAAGCCAACCCATGACAATAAGAATCTCTTGGTATTATCATTTAAAAAAATTTTTTTTAATTCCTATACAACTGAAAACCTGGAACTTTGATGAGACATTTAAAAACTCCTGCACTGTAAAACAAATGTTAATTAAGAA